CAGTTCTGTAGGAGGAGCAACTTTATGTTCCCCTCTCCATAGGTACATTGTTGAGCTACTTTTACATGGGATCTTCTATGATTGGATCCCCTATGATCCCCTCTCTAGCCCCAATCTGTAGCCTAAGGGGCTGGACTCACTCATCTGGTTCTCAACTAGGCTGAAACAAAACAGATTCAGGATGACCACCCTGCCTTATTATCTTGATACTGCATCTCCCTTCCAACCTACTCCTAGAATTCCCATCACCTCCCACAACCACTTCCAAAGGGCTTACCCTGCATGCAGTCCCAGCCAGGGTGCCTTTTCCCATCCCCCTGGGCTTCCACCACAAACTCCTGGGGGTATTTCTATCACAACCCTCCCAGACATACTCCAGACAACCAAGTCCCAGCACCACTTCTTCCAGCTCTGCCTATGTCAAACTGCCCCTTTCTGCCCCGGGAGCTAGGCTTCTATCCCTAGAGCTCCCCTCTACTGGCCTCCCAGAAGCATACCTTAAAGACACAGTCTCTCTTTTCTAACTCTTATATTTTGTCTCCAGTAATAGGGCAGGGTTATTTGGGGATGTATTGTATGTGAGAAAATATGATACATGAAACAGGTGTAGAATTAGCCTAGATCAGTCAAGTGCTGTTTTCTTTTTATTGATTATTCAGTATGATATTATGTCATAAATAAATGGTGATGTTTAATTGTAACTATTCACTGTACTTATTCTTACTTAGTTTTTTTATCTAAAAAAATCAATTCACACTATTCTGATATGCTACTTTGACTTTTTCACTTACTATTTATGTTACTTTGACCTTGATATAGCACAAGAATGTATGGTCAAATTTGGGAAAGTGTTGTATAACCAGCATTATATAACTCATTTATTTATCTTTTACATCTGTAATCCATTTATTTTTTCTTTCATGATGATAAAATCATATTTTCTTCTTTTCATATTAATTTTCTCCTTTTACCAACTTTAAACAAACTGTTTAAATTCACTTTAATGTTAAGTTTCTTTGTGTAGTTGGAACCCACTAGTGCCTCTTCAAAGAACTCTTGCCAATAGAACATTGGATCACTTTCCTTGAATTAACTCACAAATTAACAATGATCTATACTTCTGTCTTTTAATTTTCTTCTTTCCAAAGTGAAAAAGCAGTGGTCAATAATCCAATCTTGCTTTTTTGTTTGTTTTCCCTGACCTAGTTGTATGAGAAACAAACAAGATGAGATTTTAAAAAGCAGCATAGAAGGAATATGGGCAAAAGGAGGATTTCACAGAGACTCTTTCATTATAATGTCTAAGACTCAGTAGTGCACTATGGGGTGGACAAGTGGGACATATGCCATTGGAGCCCCCTGAGGAAAAGGGCACCAAAAGGAAGGGGGCCACCTCATCCTCATCTTCTCTCCACTTGCATGGAGGGCTCCAGGAAGCACCTGGAACAAGCAAAGTATGTAATGAAGTGCAAGAACTGGAAATCACAGTTCTGTAGAGCAGCAATGGCATTTGCTGCTTCTGGGGAGAGAACTGGTCCCCATTTTTCCTGCCAAAATCAGTATTTGTTCTTGTTGTTGCTGTCCTCTTGCCAGGAGCTTTTGGAGCAAACAAATGGGGTGAATATTTCCCCCTGGCAGCAAACTTTACAGCCATGCTAAAGAACTAAAACTTCCCAAAACGCCTTGGACTCCAGGATATGCTGCCTGGCCACAGCCTAAGCAGAAAATATTAGTCACCTTTTACATAATAGTCTAGACATTAGAAAATGTTAGTCAGGAAGTGTGCTCTGGCTCTCCTCAGCCTGAGGGGCTCCATTTCCTTCCTCAAGGAACCCACCAAGCCAGAGACCAGGTTGGGAAGAGGACTTTCTGCCTCTCTTGCTGAAGCTGCTGCAAGTAAACCCCAGCTTCACAAAGGCACCTCACTCACGACTGTTCCTTAACACAGAAGAAGTATGGAATTTCAGCCAGCCCTCTTCCCCCAGCACTTTTTATTTAGGTATCTCCTGCTTAGACCTATCGACTCTCCCCATTTAACGTATACAGGACTCAAACAACCAATTTTAGTTTATTTCTCTTCAGACATAGTTTCATTTGGCTCGCCAGAAATTAAAGCTTCGCATCCATGGATTTGTTGCGTGCAAATGCAAGGCACTCGAAGACATGTATTGAGCCTCTTTATCCAACAAATGACACTGCAACTTTTTTTGTAATTCACCCCTTAAAACTGCTTTCACATTCAGATTGCTTCTGCTTTTTAAAACTAACACTCCTTGGACATAGTTTATTTATTTTTTCTTGTGTGGTTTGAGAGCTTCCTGCTTCCACAGCTGTGTAGAAGGGCATAGGCATAGGCATGGGCATGGGCATGGGGTGGATGGGAGGCCCTGGGCCAGGGGGCAGTGTTGGACTGTCCCACTGTCCTGTAGCACCTGCCAGGGACCCAGTTTATTTCGTTTGAAAACCTATTGTGTGTAAACACAGATGCACCACTCCAAGACTTCATTCATTTGAAAACCTAGTGCATGTAAACACAGATGTAACACTCCAAAATAAAAAAGTTTAAATTTTATCCACCTATTTAATTTAATGACGATTAAAATCCTTGGTGTGTACAGATGGTGCCTACAGACAGCTGACACTCCTCAGCCACAATAACACTGTATTTGTACAAACCCACAGGAAAGGAAGAAAAGTATGTTCTCTGTGTCCTATCACACAGCTATGAAGGTTTAGCCACCAGGTGGCCTAAGTGTACCTGTTTTTCAAATGAATCTATACTTGTGTATAGTATATCATAAAAGGATAATTTACAAAATAATGATTATTCAGTTCTTCCATTTTAATAAATCATGTATTAATAACATATGAGTTGGTCCAGAGTTTTCCCATTTCTTGTGTTGCAGGTCTTCCATTTTCTGGCTATAGCATGAAGATTATTGAAAGAAAATGGAGATTACTGACTACTTTATGGTAAATACTTCCCAACTATAAAAACTTTGCTGTTCCCGCAAGCTGATGGCAATAAAAACATAATTCTCTAGGACGAAATTGTGCAAGTAACATCTGTGGAGCCCAACTTCAGTGGGAGAAAGACCCTTCCTGAACTGCCACCAAAACTCAGAATCAAAAACAAATAATGAAAATAAATAATAAAAACAAACAAATAAACAGCATTGGATCACTGATCATTGTTAATTTACTCCAGGGAAAACAGCCAGAAGTTTTTCTGATATTTTTTATAACTATTAAAATAAATGTTAAATATTAAATCATCCTCTATACTTTGAATAGAACATGATATTTTCTAGTATGGGTCAAATGTATCAAGCCCTCCAAGGACAAGAGGAGTTTCTTGCTATTTCACAGACTAATAAAGCCAGTAGAGATCACTGTGATCATCTTGTCTGACCTTTAGGATTAATCTTTTTCCTCCTCTCCTCAAAAATAGGAAATCAATGAATATGTTATTGATTTTTTTTAAATGTTCTTGTGTGTGCACAATCACTGACTTTGTGGATATGAAGCTCATTCTCAAGTCTAGAATTTCTACTGGTGGATGAGATCTACTTATGAGCTAGCCCTGTGTAAAAGACTCCTTTGAATATAGTACCCAGAAATTTACTAGCAAGAAGTGAAACAGCTATTTTAAACTTTTTATAATTTCCTTTCATTTCAAAATGGATCAATATATCCTATACTAAATACTAGATTATAGAGAATGAAAGAATAATGGGAAAATATCGCAAGAGGAGATTTGAAGAAAGTTTTGAACATTAGGGAAAAGCAACTTAGTCCAAATGTAGTAATTTATTGTATATATAGTTACAAATGTTATTCAGAAAATAGATATGGGAAAGGTACATAAAGTTGTTCATCTGTTATCATATGACTTTGAAACAATGATGGGGAAATGAATTTAATCGCTATAACGCATGCTACCTTTAAATAAACTCAGCTAATACGATTAATACAGTTTTATAGACTTTATTGGAATTTATTTAAATTCCAACTCCTGTGAAGGCCAGTGAACATATATTTTCTCTGACACTGCAACAAAATCCTGCTCTCGTAATTATTTTTAACACAAACTACACCACACGTATTTTACTGTCTGTCCTTAATCAAAGTGCTGTGTAATATTTTAGAGAAGCTATAGTAGAAAGCTCTTATTTTCCCAGAATACAGGAGCTGAAAGTGTTAGAAGTAAATATGCATTTTCCTTAAGCTTCCATTTCTTACATTCTGCCTCCATAAAGACATTTTCTTGACCCCCCACTTGTGCAAAATCCCACTCATTACACTGGAAATTTTAATGTCCAAATGAATAATTAATATAATTGTGAGGCTCAATCCTAAAGTCCAGTCTTATCTAGAATTTAATTGGTCAGAATTAGCTTGACTTTTTCTACATAAAAAACTGAAATAAGAAAACCAGGGATATAACCTAGGACACTGAGATCTATTCATTTAATAGGGAAAGTAACGGGACTTACTTTCTCTTTAAAAAAATGTTAGTATAAATTGGCATGGACCTGCTGAAGTCAAAGAGATGTATCAGTTTAGTCCCTGCGAGTATCTCACTATATTAGGTTAATATATATATTGGGTCCTTCTCTTGTCCCTGTTTTGCTTTACTCTGATGTTTCTAGAAAGGTCATTGATAGTCACTATATACATATGTATATATGTATAGTGACTATCAGTGACCTTTCCAGAGGGGAGAAGGCCTACCAAGTCTGTACTACCTACTCATCTTACCCCTTTACATATCATCTTTATAATAAAAGATGTGTAAGATGTATACCAACTTTAGGTAGAAGGTTAGGAACTACTGGCTAGGGCAAAGGGGGGTTAGAAGTTAGTAATAATCTTTAAAAGAGCCAGTGAACTGATATCCAGCCAAAAGCAGAATGAAGGATCATATCTCAAAACCTTTGCCAAGTAAAATTTGACATGCAGAGCCAAAAACAAGCACCAGAGTTAAAAGAGCAATGTACCTGACCAGTAGAACTGCGAGTAAGTGCTGCTCCTTGTGACCGTGGAGCATTCATGTCACTAAGAGGTTTGTTCGATGCAGTAGGATCAAGAGATGTGTTGGAGGACTGGAATATTGTATGCCCGTAGCTCCCTATAGAAGGCGGTTGAACTTTGTTTCTGGCAATAGTTTCTTCATCTTCTTCACCAGAGTCCGTAATAAAGATAAATTCAGCCTTAAAAAGGTCATTCTCCTGCATTTTTATTTTGCCTGTGTTATGCCCTTGGGGCTGGAAAATCTTTTGGGTGCTCTCTGGGTGAAAGGTAGATTTGCTGTCCTGCTGGAATTGACTTTTGAAGGCCAGGTCACCAGAAGGTATGTGAGACTGCAAAAGAGGCTAAAATTAATTTAAATCCATTGCAGGTTATTTGTTCTCCACAAAAACATAAGAAATGTTTAGTTTGCAGTCTGAGTTAGCACTGTGCTACCAACAGTCAAAAAAATAAGTTAAAAACTCCCAGCCCATGTTGTGAGAGAGTGGCAGGTTAGCAGAAGCTGGCTGTTCTACTGCCCAGCTTCCCACTCCCAGCATCCTCCCTCCCACCAATACACTGGCTGATACACAATGTCTGTTTCAAAGGGAGACACGCATTGCATTTTTCCATGTAATGCAAAGCAGAAGACTCAATTGAATATGATAAATAGGACTTGATGTTTGGAATAACACTGGAATTGGAAAGAGGGAGGGTGGTGTCAAGCAGAATGAGCTGTAGGGCCAGGCTAACCCAGCCATGATAGGGCAGGAATCCTGACTCTGTGAGATTCACAAGAGCAGACAATACCCATCACAACTGTCTGACAGAGAAATCTGGGGCAAAACCAATATGTGGTAACAAAGGACCTCAATCCAGGGCATTCTCTGAAGAGGAAACAAAAGGAACTGAGGTTAGAGAGATTTACTGTACGTTTGAGTGCTATCGTTCTAGAACAAAGCCTAATTGTTCTTTTTTATGTTCCACATTTTTCAGTTTCCAATATTTAACCCCTCAAGTGCCCTGCAGTTGTGAGCCCATATATTGTCCAGTTGCCCAATAACTGAAATTACTAATATGTTTTGTTTTCCTAGAGGGAGGGACAAAACAAAAGAACAGATTTACCAGGTACTGTACAATAAATGCTGTGTAAGGGCCAGCCATGAAAACAGATCATCACTGACTGCAGTTGAAATTACTGGCACTTAGCTCTTTTAAAAATAAAACCATCTATTTCAATAGCAAAATATTGATTTGGATACCTCATTTCAAAAATCTTGTTCAAGTTCTATACAGTTTGGAAAAGAGAACAAAAGATAGCATGAAGATGTTAATCTTGCACCATGCATCTAATGAATGTTGTCCGCATGCTGGAACAAGACAGAAACATCAGGGAATCCTGTCCTGACTTAATTAGAATAGTATTAATAGTAAATAAGTACTAATAAGGCCAAAGAGTGGAACATGGAGTTAAGTGACTATATTGCGTTCTGAGTAATTATTAAAAGTCATATCTTCTCAGACATGCTCCTTACGTGCCTATATTCAACCTATTTTTAGTATCACAGTGTTTAATTAAAAAATGTTCAAGGCACTTGAGACTTCCTTCCCTTCAGTTCAGATGACTATGTCTAGGACAGGACTTAATTTCCATCTCTGTATGGCTCTGCCTATTTACATGGGAATATAATAAAACTACAGCCCCATCTATATGCCATGCAAGGGCCTCCAGGTGCAAGATCAAGTGGGCATTATGAAAATGAATTAGTCACCCTGTAAAATAACATAAAATAAAACTAAAAGAGAAGTGGGGAGGAAAATAAAAATAGTTCTCCATGTAGTGTATTATCAGCTTGTAGAATTCGCTTTCACAGGAATCACTGAGGCAAATGTCACCATATGATCATGAAGAACATTTGTTCTATAGTAGCTAAATCCAAAAGTTACATAGGATATTGGTTTGCAGAGCAACTGAAGTAAAAAAGAAATGTCCTCCTTTTTTAATTGCAGTGCAAAAATCAGAAATGCATATCTATCAATTACATGCACATCAATTTGTCCTCAGATTAATAGTAATTGCTCTTTAAATTGTGTTTAAAAGATTACCCAGTTAGCAAATGATACCTGCTTCCAGTGGCATCCCGATTTTAAGGAAGGAGTTTCTTTCACAAAGTCATGAAAGCTTTCAAAACTGAGAAAACTTAAGTTGACCAAAATTGGACTAATTTTGCGTGTTGGCACCTTTATTTGAAGTATGAAATACTGGGCATTGGTAGGACTCCGTGACCAACTACTGATGGATTTCAGTGTGAGAATTCCCTCATGTGCCAAGGTCATAGTATTACATAATTGTCAGAGCCCATTACACAGACTGGGCAGGGTTTGTTTCGTGTACAAACTCTAGCAGAAACAGACTACTGAATTGCTCGTTTCATTGTCTCCTCCGATTCTATCTATACGGTGTGACGGTTTCAATGGTGGTCCTGGAATTCGCAATCAATTACCAAGAGCAAGGAGACTGAGGAAGACGAGCAAGAGGGGTCCAGGAGGAATTTCTCCAGGACTTCTAAGTATCAACATAAGTAAATATGAAATCATACCTTATTTATAATTTCTTGTCTAGTGTCAGCATTTGGCTCTTCTGAAATTTTCACAAGGAATTTGGAGGCATCTACAACTTCAGAGTGAGTTGGAAGCTGTCCAATATATGGAACAAATGTGAAGGTCAAGGGTTTGCTTCCAGATTCACCAGAAGGGACCTGCAAGATACATAATGAATTCACCTTTTAATCTGCATGGAGATTAGCTCTGCAAAAAAAGAAAACATCTGTTAAATTTTTAGGAGTTACCCAACATAACATCCTCAACCTTTTTGATTTCTTCAGTAGTTATATTGATCACAGGATGTTGTAGGCTAGCAATATATATTCTCTATAGAAACAGAGAAATTAAGCTTTTTTTTGGTAAGAGAAGCATTATGTCCTGAACATCACTTAGCACCACCCTATTAATTGCAGTAGACTTGCAGAATGTATGCCAACGGAATACTTGGCCTCCAGTTTGATGTTTATGCCAGAAAGAGATGAATTCTGCTCACAGTCAGTGTGCATATATAGCAGTGCGACATGGAATTCATATCAACATGTCTGAAAGCAAAATATGGCTCTAAATCTGTATGTGGAGTTGCAAATGAGTAGCCTGAAAACTGAAAAAGCTGTTCTAGAAAGAAGCAGCTTTCAAATTTAGCAAATGAAAAAGGGACTGCGTATATGAAATATGCTTAAATGGAACCACAGTCGCTTCTCACTTCTTTGTCATAATGCAGCTTGCTTCAAGTGTACATTGAACTGTACAAACATTTAATCTGTGAAAAATAATTCATGGAACAGAAGAAAACCAAACACTGCAATTTTTTGCCATGGTGCAAGTTTCTACAAATTACACACTTCCCAGAGTAACTACTGATGCAGAGCCAGCATCAATGCTTCAAGGAGATAGTCCCAGGATTGCAGTATACTCCATTCCCTTACCTTCCTTACAGGCCCTTCAGTTTTATAGGCCAATTGTACGTCTGTGGGGGGGGAGACACAGAAGCAAGGAATGGCTCACCTCACCCCACTGAAAATTCTGTTTAGGGTACCATGCATATGGATTGTGCAGGAACAACATAGAACAAGATCAAGAGAGGATGAGCAGTGTGCGTTTTATTCCCCAGCACATAACAGAAACTCCATCTGAGAAGTTAAACAGTGGGAAGCCTTTTCATTGCCCTCTCCATCTACCGAAATCCTCCTTCATGGGGAAATATCCTAGCAAAAGGAGCCCTTCTAATGGAGCTGTCCTGTCAGAAATGTGGATATAGTGTTGCAAAGAGGTCTCTCAGGGTAGGTGTTGACTAACAGAACCCCAAAGAAGGTCATAACACCATGGATCTCCCTAGATCAAGACCCACTCATTTTGACCTATTGGTGACAATGGTTCAAAACTCATCCTTTTGAGACAAGACTAAGGAATTTATGTTTGCCTAACTTCAGGCAAACTACTAATCCAGCTCTTGGACTGAACCATAACAGAATAATTGAACTCTATTGCTTTTAATTTTTCCCCTGCTCATTTATTTACATTCAAACAGAAATTTGAGCATGACAGCTATAGTTATGCTCCTTTGTAATTTGCATACCTTAGCAAGTAGCAATTTTAGAACATAGAGAAATATATTTATGTGACTCATGGAAGCAAGACTAGGTCTGCAAAGCTTCTAGAATATTAAAAATGATAACCAGGGATTTTCAAATTAAAAAAAAGATGCTGGTTTTCATTGGAAGCATTCAAATGAACCATAGGAAGTCTTGCAGTTTTGTTTCCCAGTAGGATAACCTACTACTAGAGCAGTGTACAAATATTTGAGGGGTTGGGCAGGTGCCATGCAGACAACCTGCACTGCTGATGGCCCACAGCCAGGCCCCCCTGGGGAAGTCCTGCTCACAGTCCCTTCTTCCTCTCTCCCTATGGTAAGGCTTTGAGAAAGGATATCTTATTAGTTATAAGCATATGAATTTCTGTTCCTGTACCCTGCAGTAAATCCCAACCCCTTTCACACAAGGCAATGGACCTTGGAGCTACACCTGCACCCCCTTGACTTCCTGCACCCATCTTGCTGGATACTTAAGGAGATCTGGCATGCCCATCTTGCAGTGATACAACTTACGCTCATAGTAGCACACAGCCTCCTGTGCTGGGCTCTGGAACATGCACTCCCAGGTAAGACCACTTACCAGCACTTATGGCCACCAGGCCTAAAGGATCCAGTTGATGACTTCCATGTGGCTGTGGAAAACAAGGCCCTACTGGATACTATGCACTCTGGGGTGCTCTGGGAGGACCTCCAGACTGTCAGCTGGCACTTCAGGGCCCAGGAAATGAACAATGATTGGAGGGAGCATATCATCTTGGGGAACCTGGGACACCTAGCAGGGGCTGCAGAACTTCTGCATGTGGTGGGCCACCTTCATGGAGATCATCTCTGAGTTTACCCCATACACTGAGCAACAGGATATCATGCATAAAGCCTCCTCTGACTCCAGCAAAACACATAGCCAGTCACTATCTGGAAACTCACAACTCACTGCAGCCTCTACTCCAGTTCAGTGTACAGAAATCCATGATCAAAGTGGCAGTCCTGGAGGTCTGCTTGATCATGCAGGATGTGCTAGCAGACTGTGTCATCTGCCTCAGCAACCTGTAGGACCAATTTCTGCTGGATGGGCTCCCCAACTGCATCTGGGCTATGGGTGCCTCAAGGCTTCATCAGCCACAAAGTCTTCTTCTTCACCATGCTGCAGGGTATTGTGAACCACCACTGGTTTGGGAACATCACTGTCTATACTAGGACCAGGAAGAGTGGTGGGTAGTCTCTGTGTCTGCAGCAGGGGCCATGGAACAACTTTGCCCTGGCATGGGAAATGGTGTCTCTCTGCACATGGCATCCCCCAGATTCTCAGGGGTGGAGGTCCATGGGGGAATAGGTGCATGTTCTGAGGCCATCAGCAATGTGGATGGCATTGGGGTCTGTATGTTGACCACGAAGCTGTCAGAGTTCTGCACCATGACCTGCCCCTCAATGCTTATAAAAGAACAGGTTGAGAGATGTCAAAACCGGTTCTATCTCCAGCTTTAGGGTACTTTCTGTCACCTGCTACCCCATCTTTGTTTCAGTGGCAAAGGTATATACAATGTTGATACTATGCTGATGCACAGTCCCAGTCATGGCCCTGCACTCTCATTTCCATGGCATTCCACAGATTTCTTTGTTCCAGTGGCTCTTGCACAGATCCTCTTGATTTTTCTCATCACCCCCAAGAGCAAAGAAGTCCCTGACCTCTGCCTGGTTCCAGTTACTGGTAGGAGGACAGGCCCTGCCATACTGCATGGTTGTCGCTGGGTGGGTGTGGATGTCACGGCATATTAGGGCTGTGCGAAGCTTCGGTTCCTGATTTGATTTGGTGGAGATTTGGCCTGATTCGGTAACTGAATCTCCAAATCTGAAATGAATCAAAGGACCCTTTAATCTCTCCGAATCAAATCAGAACCCTCCAAATCAATTCGGAGAGATTCAGCAATTCGAACAGACACAGCTTTAAATGTTTTTTCTACGTACCTCTAGGTAGCAGTTGGTTCGTGAATGCTGAGAGGCTGGGGCACATGGAGTGTCCCACTGAAGTGCTGGGGTCTCCCCAGCACGCTCAGCAGCAGACCTGGAAGTGAACCAGAAGCACATCCAATCCACTTCTGGGTCCACTGGAGAGCACATGGGGGGCCCTCCCTGTGCCCCCCTGGCTCAGCGACTGGTGCCTCCTGTGTCTGGGAGGGGCACCCAGGGTCCCCCCATGGCCAACTGCTGAGCCAGGGGGGCACAGAGGGGGGCCCCCAGCATGCTCCCAGGTGGACCTGGAGGTAGACCAGAAGTACTTCCAGTCCATTTCTGGGTTCGCTGCTGAGCATGTGAGGGGGCCCCCATGCTCCTGTGGGATGGTCCATTTACCCCAGCATCACAGCATTCATGAGCCATGCCTGGTACCTCAAAGTATGTAAAAAAAAAAAACCATTTAAAGCTGTGTCTATGTCTGAATTGCTGATTCTCCGAATCAGCATCGAATCTTCAGATTCGAATTCAGCCAAAGCAAATCAGGGACAGTGATCTGAATCAACGAATCAAAACACTGTCCCTGATTTGGGCTGAATCTGAATCCAAATCAAATAAGGCCCATTTCACACACCCCTACTGCATACATATGAGTCCAGGCCAGGAGTGGGCAATTATTTGGGCAGAGGGCCACTTACTGAGTTTTGGCAAGCCATCGAGAGCTGCATGACAGGCAGCCCAGGGAAGATTAATATTAATTTTCTAAACTTTTTAGGGGCCCCGCAGGCTGGATAGAATGGCTTAGCAGGCCGCATCCAGCCCATGGGCCACATTTTGCCCACCCCTGGTCTAGGCACAAGGGCCTCTTTCTCTCCAAGTAGGTCTAGATCTGGTCGGGTTTGTTCTCCACTCTGTAATGACCCAAGCCAGTGTCCGCTTCCTGCTGACCTGAAGCAGCCTGGCCCTGCCCACCCAAGCCATGAGCTGGCCCAAATTAACTCTTTGCTGACCCAAACCAACTTGTCCCTTGCTCTCCCTGAACCTGAAATGCCAGAACTGGTTCATGCCCAGTGGTGGTGGGGCCAAGCTGGGCTCAGTTCTGTTTGTGTCAGCTACAGTAATGAGGGCATGTGAATATGGGTGTGGGTGTAGGTCTGGGTCTGGGTCTGTGTCCTGGAGGCCTGGGTCATTTGGAGGGGACACAGCTGCCTCAGCACCCTGTGCTTCCCGGCAGCCCTTGGGCATAGTGCTGGGCTGGTGAAAGAGGCTGGCTTTTCTTAGTCCCAAGGCTGTAAAGGGGAGGGGTTTGCTCTGTGCTCAGCTGGAGCACTGGAGTCCATCCTGAGTCACAGACTGTCTCCCTGGAGGGTCAGAGGAGGTGTGGACAATGCATGGTGAGATGCTGAAGGGCTACAGACTATACAAAACTGAGGCAGATGATTGATACAAATGTAGCCCATCAGAATTTGCTTTGCAGTTTAGGGTAAGATCTCTAGTCTACAAAACACAATCAGAATAATTATGTATTTGGCCAGCTCTAATTCCAAGAGTAATGTGTTAAGTAAAAATGCTGAATACAGAGATGTCTGCAAAAAATATAACCTCACAAGTCACACT